ACTAGTTTCTAATTCAATTTATTTTGACTAGGAGATACTGGGAAATTATTTAGCCTCTCAGAATCTCAACTTTATTCATCAAAATGTAATTAATATTTATTTTATAGAGTTGTTGAGAAGATTAAATGGGAATTCACATTCCAGTAGAATAGTATATGATTTAGAATTAGAGTATTCCTATAGTATCTTCCCTCTGTATCTTTCATTACTAACCATTTGACATGAGTACATTTGCAGCAATTTTTAAAAAATGAAGTTTTAAATCCTTTTATGTCACAATAGAATTTTTTGACATAAAAAAACATGGGTATTAGATGTTCAAGAATATGGGAAAAGCATAGATGATTTTGGGAGGCTCTATTATTATTTATACAATAGTTATTCTTGAGAAGTTCACTTTAATGGAGAAATCTAATCCCTAAATTTGGTTTTCAAGTTTAGTTTTGACAAGTGGATGTCCAGTTGTTCCAATACCATTTATTAAAAAGATTATTTTTTTCTCCTTTGCTACTTTATCAAAAATCTGTTGACTTGTGTAAGTCTACTTCTGGTTTGTCTGATCTGTTCCACTGATCAATCTATCAATCTATCAATCTCTTCTTGCACCTGTACCATACTGTTTTGATTACTATAACTTTATATCAGGTCTTGAAATAAGGTAGCATCAGTCAACTAATTTTGTTGTCCTCCTTCTGGATATTTTGCATTTCCAGATCAACTTTTTAATCAATTTTCTGATTGCCCCAAATTAACTTGCTGAGATTTTGATTAGGAAAGTGTTGAATCTATGGATGAATCTAGAAAGAACTGATTCTTTTTTTTTTTTTTTTTAGATTAATTTATTTATTCATATAGAGCTGGGGTACATACAGGCCAGAGATGCGGCGGGTGAGAGGTTTCACCAGAGACAGTGGGGAGCAGAACAGGCAGATCGACAAAGTACACTGCTGAGGGGAGCAGCGGGCGGGCCAAGAGAGGTCTGCCGCGCCATGTGGATCACCTCCGGGGCAGGTGGGGATGGAACTCATGCGGAAGTGGTTTTAGCTTCTTACTGCTGTGCTTTAACCCACTGCGCCACCAGGGAGGGCCCGAAAGAACTGATTCTTAATGGTGAGTCATTATGAGACATTCTTGCTGATGAGTCTACATGTGGAATATCTATTTATTTGGTTCATTGCTTTCATTCATCAGAGTTTTATAGTTTCCTTCATATAAACTTTGTAGTTATGTTTTTAAACATTTATACCTTGCTAATAACATACGTGGTATTTTTACATTTTAAATTATACTTGTTAATTGTGGTTTATAGGAAATTGATTGAATTCTGGGTATTAACCTTATATCCTATATCCTTTCTATAATCTGTAATTATTAATTACAGATGTTTTAAAAATAAATAATGTTGGTTATTCTACACGGACAGTCATGCCATTTTTGAACAGTTTTATTTCTGCTTTCATAATCTGGTATCTTTTATTTCCTTTTCTTGTCCTTTTCATTAGTTAGAGTATCCAATATAATGTTAAAAAGGAAAGTGAAGTGCATCCTACTATATATGAGAAAAATTCTGGCTTCACACCATTAAATATGATACTAGCTGCAGGCTTTTTAAATAAATTTTTTAAATCAAGTTAAGGAAAACATTTGTCTTTTCCTAGACTGTAGAGAATTTTAATCATGAATTTATACTGAATTTTGTCTGATACTTTTTATGTATATACTATAGTTATATATATTCTTTAGCCTGATGGTGATCACAGTGATTACAATAATTGATTTTCAAATGTTAAACCAGCTTTATATACCTGATATAAATTCTACTTGGCTATGGCTATAATTCCCTTTACACATTGTTAGATTTAATTTGTTAATAAAAATTATTGAGAAGCTCTATATTTAAATTCATGAGTACCAGCGATCTGCAATTTCCCTTTCATGTAGTGCCTTTGGTTTTTTTTATCCAGGTAATGCTGACTTCATAGAATGAATTGGGAGCTTTTCTCTCTACTTGTACTAATATAACATCTTCCTTAAGTTCTTGGTAGAATTCACTAGTAAATCCATCTGGATCATGTCCTTTTTTGGGGGGGTGGTTAAATATTGATTCAGTTTCTTTATAGATATGGGTCTGCTCAGATTCACTATATTTATATATGTGAATTACATCATATATTAATGTATATGAATGACATTTGTAATTTGTGTTCTCGTTTTTTTTCTTATTTTACCTAACAGTCTATCAGGTTTATGATCTTTCAAAAAACAAATTTTTGAGTTCATTCATTTTCTCTATTGATTTCCATTTTCAATCTTATTTTAAAATTTTTATCATTTTCTCCTGTTTATTTTGGGTTAAATTTGCCAAACATTCTATAATTTCCTGAAGTAGACAGGATTAATTTTAAATTTTTCATATATATACAAAATTCAATGCTGTATATGACTTTTGCTGCATTCTCCATTCCTCCCACTTTGATTAGTTCTACTTTCATTTAGTTCCAAATATTTTGAGGTTTTTTTCCTGAGATTTCTTTGACATATATGTTGTTTAGGAGTGTATTGTTTAATCTCTGATGATTTCGTGATTTTTCTGTGATTCTGTTAATGATTTTTAATTTAATTCCACAAAGAATGGACATTGAATGTTTATTCTATGTGGGTTTAAGACAAATATGTGTTCAGTTGGATGAAGTAGTCTTTTGTCATTTTGTCCATTCAATTAATGTTGTGTAATTCTACTATGTTACTATGTCTTTACTGGTTCTGTCTGTTGGATCTGTCCATTGCTGATAGAGATTTGTTAAAGTCTCCAACTACAATAGTAAAAAAAAAATTTTGGTAGAACAATACATGTGATGTTCAGTTGTAGTGTAAGGCAACATACTTTGCAAACACTTATATGGTCTTCATGATTGATAATTTGATAATGTAGAATAAAACTTCACCTATTCTAAGTTCTTCTGAATATAGTATTTCTCTGAAAATAAGCTTAAGGATCATCTTGAAAGATTTTACTTGATTTTCTGCCTTTTTAATAAAATATGCTCACTATACAAGACTTCATCTCTTTTTGATGCTGTATTATAAATCTGAACATAAATTACAGATACAGTGTTATCTTTAGAAAATCCTAAATTGTATGTTAATTTTGACCCTACCTCTGTTGTTGCTGGTTCTTGTGAAAATGTTGTCCCATTTTTTTTCTTCCTATCTTTTATTGTCATTCCTCACTTCTCAACATTGTTAGTTTGTTTTTACTCAACTGTAGACTTTTTCCACTAGTTAAGGTAGTCTTATTAAAATTAAGAAAAGTGGGGGCCCTCCCTGGTGGCGGTGTGGGTTAAAACACAGCACTAAGAAGCTAAAGCCACTTCCGCATGAGTTCCATCCCCGCCTGCCCCGGAGGTGATCCACATGGTGTGGCAGACCTCTCCTGACCCGCCTGCTGCTCCCCTCAGCAGTGTACCTTGTCGATCTGCCTGTTCTGCTCCCTTCTCTGTCCCTGGTGAATCCTCTCACCCTCCGCATCTCTGGCCTGTACCCCAGTTCTGTGTGAATAAATAAATAAATCTTTAAAAAAAAATTAAGAAAAGTGGGACTGGTTAGTAAATGTGGGCCTCACTTTGCAACATTTATGGCAGTTTCTTAAAATTGTAAATATAAAACAACTGTATAATAAACAATCCCACTCCCAGGGAGAGAGAAATTACAATGTAAGTCCATGTAAAGACTTAACAATGCTATTTGTAGTAACCCTAAATTGGAATAAAATAAATATCCACCAACTGATGAATGGAAGATAAACAATGATATATTCTTATAATAGAATGTAGTTTAACAACAACATACTACTGAGGCTAATCATGGCAGAAACTTGAAAACATTAAGAGGAAGAAGTCAGACAGTACTACAGAACTGAAGTAACAGGGAACCCTGACATGAGGGGGCGGTAAGTAAGAATGGAGGGGAAGAGGTACAGTGGGCCATGGTGATGGGCACTAGGGGTGACTTGGTGGTGGGTGCGCTCTGGTGGTGATACCTGGGTTTCCAGTACTACTTCAGTTAAAAATATATAAATTAATTTAAAAAATGAGATACAAGAGACCACATGTAGTATGATTGTATAAACTACTCAGAAAAACCGTATTTACAGACACAGATACTAATGCATTTGAATTGAGAAAATTTTTCAATTTGTGAAATATACTTCAATAAAGTTGTTAAATAAAAGGCAAAAATAAAAATAAGTGTGGGCCTCTCCTAAGAGTAAATAAAACTGCTTGAGCTTTAACTAGAGACTTTGTAATCTTTTCAGATACTCAGAGAATCATGTGAGTTCCTGCTCTGGGGTTCTCTTTCTGTAGATAAAGCTGTTTTATGCTGAATTTCCATTTAGATGAGGTACTTAATAAAGTCTTTTTCCTATTAATATTTGTTTATAATATATGAGTGCTAATAGCTCACATTAGATTACTAAAGACTTTCAACATTTCATGTAGTTGTTAACAAATATATTAAGACATTCAACATTCCAGTTAACTGGTTACACTTTGGTCAAAGGATTTTGAAAACGGCTCCAGGAATGTCATGTATAAAAAAGACCTTCATTAACAGTAACAATAAAATCAAACAAACCCAAATAATACAAACATTGCTCTGACTTTGCCTTTTGAAGCCAGAGCTTCCTAGTCACTCAGTATAAAGCCTAATTGTGTTTCTGCAAGCCCTGATTTACATGCTCCTAGACACTGCTTTGGTAAACCTGGCAAAGAAGTTTTAATAGTCTGGCTGTGCTGACATTTTAAAGCATGATCTGAATTCCTTAATAATTCTGTGGTGGGAGAAAGGGGAGGATCAAAAACGGATCTAAGTATGTTTTTGGTATGCATGTTATTTACTCCCAATTACAATGTTTTTAATTGTCTCAAGGAAACAGTGAGTACAATTTACTTGGACTGTGTGTTGGAAGTTATTTTTAATTGTTATCTTTTTATTTCCAGGTGGAACACCAGTATTCCCACAAGTTCACAGTGACGGTGTTGCAAGCCACCAAAGTGACAAAGGGGGCCATCGGTGACATGCGTAAGTTCCCTTACTTGTTTTTCTGTGGCAAATGCATAGTTAGGGTTCACCTTTTGATTACCCAATTTCCCTGACAAGTCCTTTCTTCAAACAGGTTAGCTCTATCTAGTACTTTTCTAAATAGTTCCTAATGCTTTTATCTGTCTGATTATTACCTCACTTTGGCTTTTTAGTGGAGAGTGCAGTAAGTTAGACAAAAATGACTGTTTTACACAATACATATTTTTTGGAATTCTATGAAATTTTATTCTGTCTTGGAAAGAATGCTAAGTCAAGACTTCAAGATAAGCTTCTCTTCTAGAATTAAAAAACTGCAATCTGGCTTTGATGTCTTTGGGTGTGTTCATTATGTGTCGAAATAAAAATGGCTATATGACAGCTTAAAACTCATACAACATACCTAAGGAAAATGTTGAATTAGCTTGCTGGTAGTATTCCTCTCCATGCTTTTAAAAGCAGTTTTCTGTTTAATCTTACCACTCTGAATCACGGAAATAGGAATAAAAAGAAAGATGGGTACTATGATGATTTTAGTTGAGCTTATAAAATATGGGAAAGGCAATGGCAATTTAACTCTGGAGTAGGTTTTAAAGAGAGGACAGATACTACACTTTACCCATCGGGAAAATGGGGAAGGCTTTCTTGTTTAAGTGATACTGTAAATTGTAAACTCTTGAAGAAGTATCTACCTGTTGAAAGCAGGAAGAAGCTTTAGGCAAATAAATAGCCTGTGCAAAGTCCAAAGGAGGGCAGAGTTTTAGAGACCAGTGTTGCTTGAGAATATGGAGCAAAGGTAAAAAAAATATGACAAGAACTAATGGCAAGATTTTATCAGAAACATAAGAATGTGATGGCATTAAAGTTTCAGGTTCACATGATTGGATTTTCATTTTTAAAAAAATGTTCTAACGCTAGTATGTTAAATATATTGGAGGTGAATGTGGAATATCCTTTTAAAATGTTTTATTGAGGTAACTTTCCTTTGCATTATGTAAATTTCAGGTGTGCCTCATAAATCAGCATGTGTATGTCCTATATTAACTTTGCTACTAGAAGCCCAATTCTATCCTTTACCATATAGTTCACCCTTTTCCCCTGACTTATTCACCTTCCATTTCCCTTTCCTTCTAGTAATTCATCTAATATACATTTATTTTTGTTGTATTTAGCTCATCTGTTCAGTTTCTCTGCATACCACAGAATGAAATCACATGGTACTAGTCTCTCCTGACTTATTCTGCTAATGTTTAATAACTCCTAGGTCCATCCTTGTAGTAGAAAATTGTGGAATTTCATCTTTTTTATTTTTATAGCTGAATAGTATTCAACAAGCTTATTGGAATGATGATAAAAATGGGCAATGGGGAAATTAGATATACGAGAAAAAGAATGTGAGCTGTATGTTCATGTCCTCAGTGAATGTCCAGGAAACTGGTAAAATCAGAAAGAAGGAAGGGACCAGCAGATAGAATTTAATGGCAAGAGTTCTGAATGAGCAGTGGTTTACATGGAAGGTCAAGAGAACAGTGGCAATTTGTTCCCATCTAGTCTGAACCAGGGGTTCATAATCTATCTATCTATCTATCAATCAATCTATCTATCTATCTATTTTTATATATATTTTTTTAAATATTTATTTATTTATTCATACAGAATTGGGGTACAGGCCAGAGATGTGCAGGGTGAGAGGATTCACCAGGGACAGAGTGGGGAGCAGAACAAAAGGATCGACTAGGTACACTGCTGAGGGGAGCAGGGGGCGGGTCAGGAGAGGTCATGTGGTCACCTCCGGGGCAGGCGGGGATCGAACTCATGCAGAGGTGGCTTAAGTTTCTTAGTGCAGTGCTTTAACCCGCTGCGCCACCAGGGAGGGCCCTCATATTCTATATTTTATCTCATAGTTTATTCTAACCCATCTAATTATACATTTGACGATGATTTTTTTTCTTTTTCTTTTTTTAATTAATTTATTTAGACATACAGAACTTGGGTACAGGCCAGACGTGCAGCGGCAGTGAGAGGATTCACCAGAGACAGAGTAGGGAGCAGAACCGGCAGATAAATGAAGTACACTGCTGAGGGGAGCAGTGGGTGGGTCAGGAGAGGTCTGCTGCACCATGTGGGTCACCTCTGGGGCGAGGATCGAACTCATACTGAAGTGGCTTTAGCTTCTTAGTGCTGTGCTTTAACGTGCTGCACCACCAGGGAGGGCCCTGACGATGATTTTATCTCATTTTAAGTTACTTGTTTTTATAATTCTTTGCATTTTCATCATTTCAATGAAAGTTCTCTGGAAGAAAGTTTCCTCTGAAAGAGAAGCCAGATCAGAAGCCAGGGTTTGCCCATGACCATGCACTATCACAGAAGAGATCATACTCTTAGTTGGAACAATCATTTCTAATTCAGCTAAGGCTGAATCACTCACTTGTCAGGCAGGCGTGCTAGTCACCTAATTTGACTTTAAAAAGTAGTTATCACTTATGCAAAACATAGCAGGGCATTCTATAATTGTAGGCTATATTGTACAGAGCCTGAGGAGGATACTAGGGTTGAATCCAACATCTATTCAAACTCTACTGTGCATCTCCTTTAACTGTTACAAATCTGATTTCTTAACTACATTTCACATAGGCCACAGGCATGTTGGCAATGAATATTTTTTATAATTAGAACAGAGAAGAGAGTAATGCTACAAGTGTTGTTTACAACCTCTTTGAATTGATAAAATAATACTAAAATATGAACATGAGTTATTTATTCATCTCATGAAATAAGGAACAGATACCTTTTATTTTCCTTCACTGAGATATCATTCATTTGCAATACTGTATAAACTTCAGGTATATAGTTTCACACCTCAGCAACTGTTATGTTTCACACCCTGCTCATTACCAAATGTGCAGTCACTATCTACCACCAACCAATCGACTGTCTCTCCTCCCCACTTCCTACTCCTCTGATATAACCACAATTGGTGGTGTTATCAGAGTCTAAGGGTTTGCTTGTGTTTACTTATTTATTTATATTCCACAAGTAAGTAAAATCATTCAGTATTTGTTTTTGTCCTTTGACTTGTTTTATTTAGCATAACCATTTGAAAGCCCATTCATACTTTTGCAAGTGAAAGTTTTTATCTTCTTTATGGCAGGGTAATATTCCTTTGCATATATAGGCAACACATTCTTTATCTAATCATTCATTATTGAGAACTTGGTTGTTTCTATAACTTGGCTATTGTGAATAGTGCTGCAGTGAACATAGGGTGCATATATTAGTGCAAAAACACTAATATTTTTGAATTAGTGTTTTCTTGTTCTTCAGATAAAGCCCCAGAGGTAAGACTACTGAGTCATATGGTGGATCTATTTTCAGGCATCTCCATACATTTGGGAATAGTTAACTATTAGATCCCCACAGTGGACACAATACAGGTTAAACTCTTGGTCTCTAGATTCCTTTTTAAAGTGAAGGCCCCATCGGAAGAACAGCTACTGGAAATTAATAACTATAGGAGAAAGGACATACTGTTAAAATTTTTATTTAGCATTTGCAATTTTACTTTAATTTGTTTTAGTTATCAGATAATCTTTTTTTTTGCAAGGGGAGAGGGAGAAGAGCATTGTGGCCAACCCTTTATGTCATCTTAGTGATTTTGCAGAAAGCCAGGGATAATGAAGAAAAAAACAAGAGAAAGTATTAGCGAAATAAATTCAGTAATAAGTTAGTATGAAAAAATGAATGAGGCCTTCCCTGTTGGCACAGGAGTTAAGTCTCAGCACTATGAGGGTCTCTGCAGCCACTGCCAAACAAGTTTGATCCCCAACCAGGGAAATGACCCACATAGCACAGTAGACCTCTCTTGTCTCATCCACTGTTCCCGTTAGCAGTATATTTCAGTCAATCAGCCTGTTCTGCTTCCCACTCTGTCTCTGGTGAATCCTCTCACCACCACCACCACCACCACAACCCCGGCCCCTGCCCCCTGACCCCCCGCCAGCCATCCCCACACCTCTGGCCTACACTCCAGTTCTTATATGCATAAAGAAATAAAAAAAATAAATATGAAGGGATCATATATAGGAGCAAATGCTTCCTTTTTAAGAAGTTAAAGGAGAATACAGTGAGGACATTGTAAATTAGCTCTTAACTTTTCTAAAAGGAATTTTAATGTTATTGCTTCATGAGCTTAGTCTATATAAATTACCAAGTAAGTTCAATGCAGGATGTTTGTATATAAAAATGCTTTAGAGATAGGCAAGGATAGAACTGTTTTAAAAATGCCCTAAGAGCTAACAGAAATGCACACCTATTTTCTTGTTCATAGGGTTTACATTTATTTAAATAAGCAAATTTCCACAACATATTAGATGTTGGTAAGGAACAATGACTAACTACTTTGGGATAGTTTTGTTCTGTTTTTACTTTGCCTATTTATGTGGGGTCCTTTTGAAGAGTGCCACACAAGTCAAATTCTTGATTTCTGAAAAAATACCTATATCTAATTTCTGGGAGATAATAATTAGAATATAATACTTTTTTTATTTTGTCCCTTGATAAGTTATTTTATTATACTTACACTTAGAAATGCCCCTCTGTGTTATTACTAAAACATTATAATGAAGCTAGCGGTATCCTATAAACTACCTTTAGAGGAGTCAAAACTGACATTTTAATCATAACATCTCACTGATTTCCCTTGTTTTCACCTGAGACCTGGGACAGCTAATCCTTTCCCAGACATGCCTGCTAATTTCAGTATTACTCAAATGTGCCATTTAGACCCAGTTGCTTGTGCCAACACTTCACTGTAATTTTATGCTCATGTCATATGATGAAGCAGTTTGAAGTTTTAGTTTGGACTTGGCTCACCATAGTCTTATTTTTAAACTAAGTAACTTTCAGTATTTTGGCAATACTAGCATATCTCTTACTTTTTAGGGATATTGGAAGTTGTAGCAGATGTAATAGAACAAGCCAACACTGACTGCAGTAAAATTTCA